AAAAAAAAAAAAAAAAAAAGGTGACAAATTTCCCATATGAAAATTTCACTCAAAGCAATAGATAGATTCTGATTGTTCTTGTTTCTAAACACTTGCAAGATTTTTCCAACTTATGTGGACACAATTCTGGGATTTCTCTTTGGAAACAGGTGGTCATGGTTTTTAGAACAGAAAATATGTAGTTTATTGTTGGAATAGACACAATTCATACACATGGACACAGTGAGGAGACCCTGCTTCTCTGCTTTGCATTTAGGCATTGCAGCACAGCAAACCTCCCAACACATATTGGCTGAAAGCAACCATTGATTCTGATCTCCACCAGCTTTCCAGGTTTACTGGAGTCATGTGGGTGGTAGATCATGAGGTGGGAGTCACATTTTCTGAAGGATTTGTAGGCTGGGATTCCAGGGGATGCTTCATTCATGTGTGACTCAACACTAGGGCTGGGTGAACATCCGGGGGGTTGGCTGGCTATCTCCTTCCTCACTTCACCTCCCCATTCATGCCTTGAATTTCCTCAAATCATGAGAGTCTCATGGTTCTTGGACTTAATGAATGGTGATTGGCTTCCACCAACAAAAGCCTTCAAAAGGCTCATGGAGGAGGTGCAGGGCATTATAGGACCTAGTTTTGAAAGGCAGACAGTGTCACTTCTATGACATTATGTTGATCAAGGTGAGTCACACAGGCAGCCCAAATCAAACGAACATGAATCCACAAGCTGTGGCTATTCTGACTTGTGGTCCTGAGGGGCCATCCTTGGCAAGTATTTCTACTCAGTTCCATGCTTACATGTGTAAGCATGTATATGGGCTTATGCTTCCCTCCTACCAAAAACACTAACCCTGTAAGGAACCACTGGAGGCAATACAATTACAGAAACAGGCTCAGATTGAAGTCTGGCATCTTATCATCCAGTCAGAATCTGGTGTGCATGATGTGACTACAAATCATCAGGTGTCCTTTCTCTCAACATATGCACTAAAGGGATACATTATCTGCCCTATACATATCAAACATACAAGACTGAAACATACAAGGAAAATGCAGTGAACGCATCTGTTTCAGAGGGGCAAAAGATAATAAATGTCATTCTTTTCCTCATTGTACTCCTGAAAGCAAGATGGTCACAAACAGCTTTACTGGAGCCACCCATGAAAACTTAGCCTGGGTTCTCACTCTTGTTGTATATGTTCCAACCAGCACAGTCTGTTCTGGAAATACTATCTCAAAATGTGCCCCTACTGTTTCCATAAGTACTTAAAGGATATACATTTCATTAAGTTGGACTAAGAGGTCTTCCTTGAGTGGATAACCAAGGCATCTACCCAATGAAAGAAACCATGCTAGCTCTTTGTATAAATTAAAAATTCAAACAAACAAACAAGGACAGAAAATAGACCACAGTCACAGTCCATATCACTGAGGAAACCAACAAGACCCCTATTTTCATTTTCTCTGTGAATGTTTCTCTGCAGCAATTGGCTTCATCCTCCATTCTTAGCTTCTTGGAGCTCCTACCAAGATGGCAGAATGACAGCCTTTTCTTCTCTATAAGAACTGTGATTATCTGTTTCACAGTGCAAATGAAGACTCACTTAGGAGAAGATAAACAACATATTACTTAACGGTCAACCAAGGCAGACTGAAGAGGATCTCAACAAATAGCCTCTTTTTCTGCTGGGCCCATCTCAGGCATCATTTTGATCATCTTCTTCCTCTCTCCCCATTTTCATTGCCACAGCTCGTTCAACTCCTCACTCATGGGTATGCCTCTCTATGTACTGCTTCTTTAACTTAACATACAGATACCTTGAGGTGTCAATGTACAGTGAATTACACTCTTTATGTCTTCCTTGTTTCTTTCCAGCATGGACTGAAATTTCCTCTCCTCTCATTGGAAACTCTCAAGTTCTGATTAGGTACACTCTCCTCCTTATACCAACCTTGTCACAGTCTTGGTCACTTCTTTATTTTTATAATGGACTATAGGCTCCATCACCAGCATGGAATTCATTTCTTAGCAAATTAGGCAATTCTTGCTCTGAGTGGATGAAGATTATCCTGGAACCCATGACTTTTTCAGCAGAACATGAGTTTGATTTTATATCTGCTTGCCCCTGGATGGTACCCGTTTTATTTGAATAACCTACAGAACCCTACATGCTGGCCTTGCAACACACATGGTGACTCCCCTTTCTTGACTGATATTCACCAGCTCATTTTAGTTCACATGGGCCATTTGTTACACTCATTCTTGTCTCAGATACTACCCTTTGCTCATGGTGGCCAGGATGACATCTCAGATACAAAGAGGTGACACAGAGGAGCCGATGTTCAGCAAAGAATTTTGAATCACCTCTGGAGACTTAACATCATTTCCATGTACCTCAACCCAAATTCCTGATCTTCTCCCAGCAAATACAACATTGCTCAAAACACAGAAAGTCA